ATTTCTTAACCCCGAATAAACTCAGACTACCTCTAAACCCTTCTCCAACCCCATACCCCTCCACTACCTATCAAACAATCACTGAGTACAGTATATCATGCCCAAGTCTTTCAAAGACCATCACGTGCAAGACTTATCTAACGCCATCTAATAAAAAATCCCTACCCCGATAGAAACATGTGCAAAATGTTCTCATTCTATTTTCTATTACTACTAACTAGGTCCGAATTGATGGAATCTCATCATACCTTCTCCTTTCTTTCCTCTCATCATCCATATAGCACTGACAAATCCCAGGGGAGTTTCCTGGTCGTGGCAAAAAGTCAAAAAAAAAAAATAAAACGTATGCTAGGCTGAATTCGTGTAGCCTTGGTGCCAGCATCCCCCGGTCTGTCCCACGTAGTATTTGTCACACAAGTTTCCGGCAAAAGCAAAGCACAGCTCTTATTAAATCACAAACGAACCAATTCACTTCTTCTTTGCAAAGTTTATCTTTTAACCTTGAATAGTTTATGCGAATGGTTTTCTGTTGGCTGGTGTGCAAACTTTGACTTTGACATCCAAAAGGCAATACAAGCCCGCCTCGCTATGCTGCCATTTTTCAGATATACCGTTGATATAGGGCAAGTGGTTGTTCTCCTTTCAGATGTTGCATTTGTCCGAGGTGCCGTCGAGCAAACCTATCCTGTGATGCGGGCAGCGTTAGAATGAAGCCTTCTTGGGTAACACGTAGTTCCCTCGCTTGAACAGATTGGAGAGATGATCTTCCTCTTGTCATCTTCTTACTTTAATTTTTTTCTCCTTTTTGCTTTCCTCTGGTGCTTTAATTCTTTTCCTCTTCTGGCCCTCTGGCATTCTCTCTGGCCCGTCACAGCTCTGCGGGTGTGCTACAAAACAGTGGGATTGTGCTAGCTTCGTTTGAAAAGGGTTTATGCACCACAACACGCAGCTACCAAGCATCTGCGATTTTGTTTTGCTGTGCTGCCGGGATGATTGCTAGCTGCCCTTGTGTATTAGAGGATCTGGTCCGTTTATTTGGAGGCTTATGGTTACAAGCGTAGATTATTTTTTTTTTTTCGGTAGACTGTTGTTTCCAATCAAATCGTTTTCAGCAACACCACAGTCCTTCGAATGAGAACGTCTAAGAATGGTAACTGCCTCGATGTTTTGCTCTCTCTTCTTTTTTTTCTCTCTCTTCCCACCCTGGTGAATTGGATGCCATCAAACACAAAACAACCAAAACCCGTTAAATATAGTTCGTCCTTTTCGTCGTGACGCGATTCCTCCAATTTGGAACGCTTGAGGATGACGAAGGTGTCGTCTAACGTAACGTATGAAACCCCCCCCAAATTTTGGTCTCGGTCCTCCCCGCGAACGGAGTGCTAATTTGTTCCAGCACACAGGCGCCTGCAAACATAATTGCACACAGCCTCGTGGCTACTAAACCAGTATCGCGGCGAGACCCCATTGGTGGAGTGCCTCTTATTTATTCTGTTCTGGTAAATTTGGTGGAGGTGCCAATAAAACTGAAATGAGTATGTTTACACAGAAATTTTACCCTCCAATAACTTCCATTCATCTGTTTTGGGTTCGAATTTCACACACCCCCACCTGCTGTTTGATCACAGAACGACAATGTAGTTCCCCTCTTAAGTCAGTCGCATTCATTGTTTGATACAGTTTTTTTCGGCGCCAAACCACTATCGTAAGTAACGATGGAGGTGAAACAAACACAAAAAAGGCGGTACCAATCGAAAGAGACAAACCATTCATCCCTCGTCTTTGTTCAACAATTGTTGCGGGTCCTTAAGAAGTTTCTCAAGGAACCCAGTATCTGCCGAAGATTGATTGAGTGATACCGAACCCAGCTGTAATTGCAAGTTGGTTTTACAAATGCAAGCCGTCTCACCCATAGCCATCCTCCTTTTAGCCCACAAGAAATCCTGTACATATGGAGCCCTCCCGCCCCACATTGTAACAACCGAACACTAATTGTGACTAAAGCGGTCACCACAGTCCTCACTCCGCGCTTTTTGGTGTACTATCATAAATGGGAAAGCCACATAGAAAACCGCGGTACGTTTTTTAAAACCGCTCTCTTGGTTGCTCCTCCGCCCATTATAATCTTACAAACCCATTCCTTGGTGTTTGATCCAAAACTCTTAGAGATTTTTTCTTTTCTCTTTCCTCCCCCCGCCCTCATTCGCCCATTCCCCCCGACGAATAAATGACTCCAGAATTTTTTTAGCCAGATAAAAGAGTAGCGGATTTCAGAATGTTAGCCCATTACCTTCACTTCTAAAGCCGGTTTTGTGGTTGGGATCGGGGGGGTCGCTTCGTTTTATTAATTCGTCTGGTATGTGTTTGGGAGGGCTACGGTCCACGCTAAACTAACAGACTTTATAAGGTGTTGAGTTTAGCTAGCCTTACCTCATTGTATAATCCGCTATTTGTACCCAATAATCAACGAGAACTACACGCGTCATATTTAAATTGTATCGTCCCGCCAGCGCAGTAATAACTAACTTTCAAAAACTATGCTCAACTTGTACACATCCTTTCATAACTCTTGGTCTTTCTTTCTTTTCTTTCTTTCTTCTTGAGATTCTTCTCTTCTCCAGAAGAAGGAGACTCTCCCGTTCAGCTTCCCCCGCACTTCTCTCCCTCTCCCTCTCTTCAACCCTCTTCCTCACACTTCTCCCCAGAGCTCTCTCGCTCCTCTCACCCTTCTCATCCCTCATCTGCACCCCTCTCCTCCTCCTCCGTTCAGAGCGGCCGTTCCAGAGCGTACCTAGCGGCGATGAATAATTGTATTGGTATCACATCACCCAACAGGCTTAAATGACTGAGAGACCGAGAGCCGCCGGATGATTCAGTGTGTCAGACCTCTTGTTTGTGCTACACAAAGTTTGTGCTTTTCATTCAGGGTCGATCAGCGTCATCGAGGGGGCCGCGATGAAGTATTAAAAGTTATGTAAAATACGATTTTTTAAGGGTAAGCGGTCGATTCAAAGAGTGCAAAGCCTGAGAGAAGTCCAAAGGATTTTATGGTCCTTAATATTTAGGTTTGCATACCTCGCGGACAAATGAACGTTTCGATATAATGCCTTCTTACTTCTCTTGGACTTGTAATAACAATGTAAAAATGATATTGTACTGCATAATTATTTCTTTTTTATTTGACTGCTTTTTTTTTCCCGCGTCCGAAATCCTCTTTTGTGGATATGATATGTTCAAAATCCCAAGCAAAGCATTCGACTTTTTTCTTTTCCTATAGGTGGAATCTTATATGCAATTATTCATGCGAGAAAAAGATCGAATTCCCCATCAGCTTCTTCTCTTTCAAAACAATTTCTCCCTTTCACTCTTTCAAAACATTCCTCTTCAACGTCCTTCTTTCTCCATTAATTCAGTCTGCTACACTTATCATCTTCAAATAATATCATCAAATTCCCTCTCCTCTATCACTCTACAAAGTTTTCAAGAAAGCCTAATCAATGAAAAACAAAAGCCACCGTTTGGGGGTGTTTAAGCTATTGTCGTTGAGTGTTTTTACAACAAGCTAAATCAAGCTAAAACAAATCAAAAAAACAACCTAAAAAAAAGAGCTAATACCCAACGCTTTTTTTTTTTTTTTTTTTTTTTTTTTTTTTTTTTATTTCATTTTTTTCTTTTTTTTTCTTTCTCTTTTTTTTTTTTTTTTTTTTTTTTTTTTTTTTTTTTTTTTTCCTTTTTTTTTTTTTTTATTTATCTATTCAATCGCTTTTTTTTTTTTTTTTTTTTTTTTTTTTTTTTTTTTTTTTTTTTTATTTCCACACTCTTTTCACTTTTGTTTTTTTCAATCTCATTTCTTTCGTCTTCGGGGTCAATAAAAGTGGTCCTCCTAGGTCAGGATTCAAGAAGCAAATTGCTTTCTCCTTGTTCGTTTAAACAATCACCAATTCTGGAATTTTAACTTATACACTTAATACCGCTTTTTATTTCGAGACGTACCGAGAAAACTGAGTGTTGCATAAAATAATCTTGTAAAATCATCAAAACAACATAGGAGGACAGAACAAGGCTTATAACAATATAAAACAATTCCTCTATTCTTTCTTAGTTTCTTTTCCTTTCCCTTTTCTTTCTTTGGGGCATATGGCTTTCTTTGATTCTTACATTCTTTCTTTTTCCTTTTCTATAACATTCTTTTCTTATTCTTTCTTTCAACATTCCTTTATCGTAATCCATATTCTTTCTTCGTCTTTCTAAATTCTATAAACAATATATCTTCGTTTTCTTCTTTATTCTTATCATTCTTTTTTTCTGTTTTTTTTCTATTCTTATTCTTTATTCTTCGTCGCTTCGCCCATGATGTTTCCGCCGATTATATCTACCTTCTTCCCATCCAAAGGATGTTTAGAATCGGGATGACGGGAATGCAAGGGCCACGGCGGGCAAAACCATAAAAAAAAACCCACTGCTCTGCCCCATTTATTTTCCTCTCTGCAAGCATACTGAGGAAATAGAGCTCTCTGCTCAGCATCTCTGCTCTCTTCTCTCTCTCTTCTGCTCAATCTGCTTGGCTGCTCTTCGACAGTGGATTAATGGCCGACAGACATGACTATGGCGAACGACTCGATCTAATTTGGCGAAAACGTCTCTTTATCACCTAAAAAAAAAAAAAAAGGAACGACCCTCACCGGTCCTCTACCTCCTTATCATTCTCCTCAACCCATCGGCCGAGCAGATTTAAGCGCGCTCGCGGCGTCGGGAGGCGATCGGCAATCTCGGTATTCGGTCCGGGTCGGCCGGCGTCGAGCAGATGTAAGGCGTGGAGGAGGTAAAAGCTGCGCGGCTGTAAGCGGCGTCCGCGGCGTTAAGAGGCGCGAGAGAAGCGCGAGGGGAAAGAGGACTGAAAGCAGCTGCGTCGTCTCCTGTGCGAGCGGCGCGCTCCCAAATTGAATTGAAAAATAAAAATGAGAACAACTGTAGCTCGGGGTGTAAAAAAAATGCTGGATTTTGGAGCCAAGATTTCTCACTCTCCGACCTCACCCTCTCCGAGCTTGCCAAGCGCTGTGGTAATAATATTGCCAGACGTTTCGTTTGTGCTGACATCAGGCAAACAACATCCAGTGTTAAACAAAAATGAAAAACAACTGTAAAACTGGCACAAACAAAAATTCTGGCTCGCGGACGACGCCGCCGATGGCTGCTCGCATCAGCACGATTGGATACACTTAATCGTCCTATCGCCATACGGCAATCATCCACTGACGAGCAAGCTCCTAAATTTCCCTCCACGAATCTTCCTTAGCGAAGGCATGGTTTAGTGGCCGCCGAGTCTGCACTTAAATAAAAATATAACTAACTCCCGCAATCCCTACCTACAACCTCTCCTCCGATCATAAAACCATCCTTTTGGGTAGGAAGATAACGGAAACAACAAACATGGGCGAAGAATGTTATCCGGTGGGCGACCTGTAGATTACAGATGCGCACAGTGAAAGCGTTGTAAAATAATTTTTTACCAATTGTGAATTAAACCGAGAACCAGAAAAAAGCAAATATGCCTTTGTAATAAATAAACTATAATTACTTATAATAATTATAATAAATATATTCCACCATATATCCAGACTAGGGATCTCACAATGAAAAAACTCGAAGAATTGGAAAAAAAAAAATGCGATAGCTGTCCAAAACACACACGAAACAAAGCTAAACAACAAAACAGGCTTATTTGAAAGAGAAAACTGACTGAATTTCTAAGTCTCCATAAGAAAACCGGAAAACCACCTAATGGAAGAACGATGCGCACTTTGTATTGCAAAACAAATCCAACAAGAGTGATTAACGGGAGGGATCAACGCAAAAACAGTCATTGGTCCTGGTCACGAGGTAATCAACAACATAATAAGGAACTTACCACTCCAATCCTAATCGACTTCCCTCGCTGCACCTTGAAATCCTTCGACGCTAAAATCGTACAAACCATCGCTCCTTTAAGCAGCACAAACAAGAGGTCATCTGACACAAATCATACCCGTCCCTCTCCTCTCAGTCATAAAAAGCTGAAACCAACATATTAACTGCTCGCTGAACGGAGAGCTAGCACTGAGAAGAAATGAATCTTCCAAGCAAAGACAAGAGCATAGTTATATTCCAGGGCCGATAGGCCGGACAAAAGAACGGTCTTGACTGGTCTTACTGTTATAACATGGACAAAATCGGAATTTACCAAAATGGAGGAAGGCAACGAACAAACAACCCATACATCAACAACCCTCAACCTACTCAGAGACAAAACACGCAACTACCCATAAAACCAGCCTGCGAAAAACTACAAATAAAAGACCCGACAAAATACCGCGCTTTCCGCTCTAAAGAAGTCAAAGTGACAACATCATACGCAAAAACTCTCTGTCAAAAAACTGAACAACCAAATGGGAAAATCAAACACAAAGTGGAACAACAAGAGGATGCGAGCAAACACAAGGACCTCGGGTAAACTAACCTAATCTACTACCGCGGCTTCTAATGGACTTACCCAAAAGTACACAAAAGCGGAGTACCGCTTCGTATCGTCGCGTCGGTGCCCCATCGTGGTCCGTTAACCCCAACCCTCCTGGAGCAACCAAATTACAAGGCCCTTGCAAAGGGAGCTCTCGTGGAGACGGCTGAATACACATATTACGCGGGATCGGAAACACTCAATCAACTCGGCAGAAACTGTTCCTTGAATAAAACTTAAAGACCCTGCCACCATATGAACAAGGACGAGATAAAATAGGTCTACTTGTCTCTTCTTTTTCGAGGTTTACCCGTCGTTTTGGTCTATTTGGACTCTGGTATTGGGTATGGTGTTATTAGAAACGCCACCACCCACAGCCCTTTTTCACAAACAAAAAACATACAAATAAATCATCCATCGATATTTTTTGGTTTGGCGAAACAAAACAATGACGCCTCAAACCGCCTCTCGCGTGCCTGCTAGAGTAAAAGGAAACACATACGTGTCTGAATACAAAACAGCAGGACAGCATGAAGTTCTGAACCCCCAAAAACAGATGATGGAGTTATATGGAAATTACACTGGGGTTTAAAAAAAAACAAACATTTCATTTTTAAAATTGGCCCAAATTTACGAACAGTATAGAGGACACAATCCCACGATAGGGAATACGGTAACACACCCACCCCGCAATGGGATAATCCAAGCACCGACATCTACTGGGGGCTGCTGAGTTGTCTAGTAAATAGTTAGCCGATGAGTGTACCAGTGATGCCGGCGCCTGGACATAAAACAAAGATAAAAAAATATCAAAACATTAAGAAATAGCAAACACCCATCACAGAAACACATACAAAACCAGCCACACACTCGACGAACCACAAAAAACATAAACACCACCCACCAAACCCCACAATTAGTCAGACGCCTCATCATCACACCCGATTTACCTATACGCCGGCGAGACCACCAACCTTTGGGGGTTACGATACGTAGCCGTGACAACCTACGAGCATCACACCTATCGACACGATCAACACCAGTCAACCAAGGCCCCACTTCATGCCCAAGCGAATCCCTCCAACAAAAATAGGAGGGAAAACACTCGGGCACGCACAACAGCCCCCACACGAACTAATTAACGGTGTGTTTGATGGCATCCAATTCACCAGGGAGGAAGAGAACAACGAGCAGTTACCATTCTTAGACGTTCTCATACGAAGGACTGGTGCTGAACGATTGGAAACAACAGTCTACCGAAAATCTACGCATACGGACCAGATCCTCAACTACGGCAGCAATCATCCGGCAGCCCACAAACGCAGCTGCGTGCAAACCCTTTTCAAACGAGC